CCTAGAATAATGGAATCATAGAACCCTACAGCCATAGAACCCTAGAACCGTAGAACCATAGAACTGTAGAACTCTAGAACCCTAGAACCCTAAAACTGTAGAATCCTGGAATCCTAGAACCCTGGAATCCTGGAATCCTGGAATCCTGGAATCCTGGAATCCTAGAAATTTAGAACCCCAGAACCCTAAAATCCTAGAATCCTAGAATCGTAGAACCCTGGAACCCCAAAACACTAGAACCCTAGAATCCTAGAATCATGGAATCCTGGAATCCTAGAAACTTAGAACCCAGAACCCTAGAATCGTAGAACCCTAGCATCCTAACCCTAGAACCATACAACCCAGCTCGTTTCCAACCCTGTGATTCTGTGATTCTGTGAATATTTCATCGAATCGATGGGATTTGTGGCATCATTTCTAAATTTTTTCCCCCCCCCCCCAAAAAAAATAGGGTGAATACGTCGGATTCCGGGGTGAATTCCGAACGCTGCCCTCGCCTTTGGAGCACATCAACCTCCACGTCCGCGGGGGTTTCATCCTCCCCCAGCAGAGCCCCGCCAACAACACGGCCTACAGGTAGCACCAGGAATTGACCGATTCCCTTCAAATTCCACTCAAATTTCGGACCTTTTTTGGTCACTGTTTGACCCAGCAGTGATTATCTCACATTGCAGGTGAATCAGGCTGGGAATTCATTTTCTTTTGCCTTCCAATTTTCATGAAAACGGTCACGTTTCCATGTTGGAAACAACAGAATCTGTGGGATTTTCAGAATGCTGATCTGAATTTTGGGGCAGTTTCCTCTCTTTTTGTCGTCCTCCTTCTGTTCCGCTCTCAATTAAACTGATTAAATTGCATTACAAGCAATTAGAATGAGATTTTCATTAACATCGATGCTTTTTCACCTTGCAAACACCTCCAATTTTGCAGGAATTTCAGGCAATCGAGCTGAATTTTAGGGCAGTTTCCTCCCTTTTTGTCGTCTTCCTTCTGTTCCACTCTCAATTAAATTTGTTAAATTGCATTACAAGCAATTAGAATGAGATTTTGATTAATTTTGATGTGTTCCCCCATTGCAAACACCAAAATCTGTGGGATTTTCAGAATGCTGATCTGAATTTTGGGGCAGTTTCCTCTCTTTTTGTCGTCCTCCTTCTGTTCCGCTCTCAATTAAACTGATTAAATTGCATTACAAGCAATTAGAATGAGATTTTGATTTACATCGATGCATTTTCCCATTGCAAACACCTCCAATTTTGCAGGAATTTCAGGCAATCGAGCTGAATTTTAGGGCAGTTTCCTCCCTTTTTGTCGTCCTCATTCTGTTCCGCTCTTAGTTAAATTTATTCAATTGCATTACAAGCAATTAGAATGAAATTTTGATTAATTTTGATGTGTTCCCCCATTGCAAACACCAAAATTTGTGGGCTTTTCAGAATGCTGATCTGAATTTTGGGGCAGTTTCCTCCCTTTTTGTCGTCCTCCTTCTTGTTTTCCCCCATCCACCCCCCTCTCAATCAGATTCCAGCACCCCAAGTGCCATGAGAACGAACTCACAGGGGGTTGCGTGCGACGTCCGTCGTTGGGGCGCGATTAATTAGCATTAAAAATCAGATTTAATTTTTGGGGAATGCAAAAGTGGGATTTGGGGGGGTTGGGGGGGAAGCAATTCCCTTATTTTTCTTCTTCTTGGCAGCCGAAAGAATCCATTGGCTCTTCTGGTGGCTCTGAATGACAGCCAAGAGGCGGAGGGGCAGCTCTACTGGGATGACGGCGTGAGAATCGGTGCGGATTTAGGGGGAATTCCCCCAAATTTGGGGCAGCCACCCTGAGAAAAAAGAAGAGTTTTGTTATTGCGGCTCTGGGATTTGCCAGCCAAAAGTAGAAATGATGGCAGGAATGATTGGGATGATGGCGATGATGATGGCGATGATGATGGTGATGATGATGGTGATGATGGTGGTGATGATGATGGTGATGATGGTGATGATGATGGCGATGGTGGCGATGATGGTGGTGATGATGGTGGTGATGATGGCGATGATGGTGGCGATGATGGTGGCGATGATGGTGGTGATGATGGCGATGATGGTGGTGATGATGGTGGTGATGATGGCGATGATGGTGGCGATGATGGTGGTGATGATGGCAATGATGGTGGTGATGATGGTGATGATGATGGTGATGATGGTGGCGATGATGGTGGTGATGATGGTGGTGATGATGGTGATGATGATGGTGGTGATGATGGCGATGATGATGGTGATGATGATGGCGATGATGATGGTGATGATGATGGTGGCGACGATGGCGATGATGATGGTGATGATGATGGTGGTGATGATGGCGATGATGGTGGTGATGATGATGGCGATGATGGTGGTGATGATGATGGCGATGATGGTGATGATGATGATGGTGATGATGATGATGATGATGGTGATGATGATGGCGATGATGGTGGTGATGATGGTGTTGATGATGGTGTTGATGATGGTGATGATGATGATGGTGATGATGATGATGGTGATGATGATGATGATGATGGTGATGATGATGGCGATGATGGTGGTGATGATGGTGGTGATGATGGTGTTGATGATGATGGTGGTGATGATGGCGATGATGGTGATGATGATGATGGTGATGATGATGGTGATGATGATGTTTTGGGATTTGGTGAAACGTGTGGAATTTTTTGAGAGGTGAAAGGGGAAAAAGATCTGAATTGATCTGAGGTTAAATGGGCCAAAATGGGGTAAGAATGGGCCGAAGTGGGGTAAAAAATGGGGTAAAAATGGGCCAAAATGGGGTAAAAAATAGCCAAAATAGGGTAAAAATGGGTCAAAGTGGGGTAAAAATGGCCAAAATAGGGTAAAAAATGGGCCGAGGTGGGGTAAAAAAATGAGCCAAAATGGGTTAAAAATGGCCAAAGTGGGGTAAAAATGGGCCAAAATAGGGTGAAAAATGGGCCGAGGTGGGGTAAAAATGGCCAAAGTGGGGTAAAAAAATCGGCCAAAATGGGGTAAAAATGGCCAAAATAGGGTAAAAAATGGGCCGAGGTGGGGTAAAAAAATGGGCCAAAATGGGCAAAAAAATGGCCAAAGTGGGGTAAAAATGGGCCAAAAT